ATTTTAATATCAAAAGGTGTATTTTCACACAGTGGGATATTTAAAAAAAACATTTTTGATGGAATATGTTGCATTTTTATATGTGCCAATCACACATTTGCATTATAAAAAAATTAATACGTGTGTCTCCAGATTCAACGAGTTCTTTGATATTTTGTATACAGATGTTTTCCACATTATTTTGTTAACGTCATTACTTTAAATCGCCTGTTTTTATTTTTGAGGTAAATATTTGAATGACCAAAACTGTAAGTATTAACGCTCATCATGACTTGCCAGTTTGGGAAGATTGTTATGGTATTTTTCAAACCCCTCAAGGTACAGTCTGTGAAAATAAAACGTGCGCCGATTAAGTCCTGTTAAACAAGATTAGAAATTGGCTCAAAATAAACTAAGCTTAAAATATTATTCTGAGTCTTGTTTGAACTGCAGTCTAAAGGGTGTTAATTAAGTATGTACCATAAATTTAATAGACGATTATTTGAGTAATTTTAAGACAATGTTAAAATTAGAAAAAAAGCTTTTTCGTAAAAATCTTAAATATCCTTCACCTAATTTTGTTGTAATTTGAAGGTGGTATTCATAACATTAAGGCCCGTATCGTCAGTCGTCCCTACAATTGTAGGGTGCATTTATGGCCTCCTTGATTGTCATACTCTTTTCTCTCCTTCAAAAATTTCTAGATTACACTCTTCCCGTGTCAGCGTCAGCGCTCTCCTATTGTTAAGATATGTTTTCCTTTTAAATTGTAGGAAATTTCAGGCTGATAAAACATGACATAACTCAAAAGCAAGCACAATTTGATGCATATAGATGTTTGTGACATAACCTCAAAATAGAGCGCTGACACGGAGAAGTAGAAAACTATGACAATCAAGGAGGCCATAAAGGCGCCCTACATTTTTGTAGGGACGACTGACGATACGGGCCTAAGGAGCTAATTTAGTCCTAACTTGATTAAATTTATTAAGTCCAGTGGCATCTCGAGCGGGATCTGAACGGATACACTGATCAACAGCCAAAAAATATCCTAAATAAAATCAACAAAATATTACTATTTTTAATGTGCTAAAACCGGAATGAAACTTATTTTTTCAATATTAGTTCAAGTTTTAGAGATACGGTAATTATATGTGTTCCTGCTGTGACAGTGTTAATATACTGTAATTCACAAGAATGCACGTGCTACATTTTTATATTCGACAAGGAAAGATGATGTAATCGGCATGATTGTGTTACGTTATACATACGTGTACATTATATTGTTTTATATTATCCATTTTTTCCTCAGTTGGCTGACAGCGTTCATGCAAGATGTCTCGAAAGTGTGTAAACAATCCAGATCAGTTTTGTTACGTGTGTGGTGATGTGACTTTTGCGTCTCAGAGACGATCTATTACTCCACTAATAACAAAGGCATATCAGCTTTTTTTCGGTTGTAAACTAGGTGATCAAGACAAACAGTGGGCACCCCACATCTGCTGTAATACATGTGCTTCAAGTCTGAGGAGCTGGTTAAATGGCAAAAAACGGTCTATGCGCTTTGCTGTCCCAATGGTTTGGAGAGAGCCTACAAATCATATTAATGATTGTTACTTTTGCATGGTACCTTGTGTTGGACAAGCCACAGGTATGTCCAAGAAAAAAAAATCGGTTATTAACTACCCAAACATACCATCTGCGATGAGACCTATGCCTCACAGTGACGAAAATCCTATTCCAAAACCCCCAGAATCCTACACTTGCGAATCAGAAAACGAATCAGATCATGGCGATCGAGTGATTCGTCAGGAAGAAGATATGCCATCAACGTCAAGAGATCCTGATTTTATACCGAGCACGTCATGCCACCAACCGCACAAAATAACACAGTCAGAATTAAATGATCTTGTAAGAGATTTAGAACTTTCAAAATGTAAGGCAGAGTTACTTGGATCAAGACTGCAGCAGTGGAACTTGTTAGAAGACGATGTTTCAGTATGTGTTTTTCGTAAACGCCACAAAGACTTAGAACCATTTTTCAATATGGAGAATAACTTGGTTTTCTGCAGTAACATTAACGGCTTACTGGCGGCTTTAAATATAAACTATAACCCAGAAGAATGGAGATTGTTTATAGACAGTTCAACATTGAGTTTAAAGGCAGTGTTGTTGCATATTGGAAATATTTTACCATCTCTTCCTGTAGGGTATGCGGTTCACATGAAAGAATCATATGACAATATGAAGTACCTATTTACATGCATAAAATACGATGAGCACCAATGGCATATTTGTGGCGATTTGAAAGTTGTTGCACTTTTACTTGGGCTGCAGCTAGGCTACACAAATGTTTGCTGTTTTTTGTGTGAATGGGACAGTCGGGCAAAGGCACTTCATTACACCAGACAAAACTGGCCTGTTCGTCAATTCCTAGAGCCAGGTCAAAAAAATGTACATTAGTAGATTCGAAAAAAATTTTATTACCACCACTGCATATCAAGTTGGGCCTAATGAAAAACTTTGTCAAGGCATTAGATAGAGATGGTTCAGCTTTTCAATACCTGCGTCAGAAATTTCCAAGACTAAGTGAGGCAAAGGTTAAAGAAAGTATTTTTGTTGGGCCACAGATTCGAAATATTTTGAAAGATACACAGTTTGAAAACACTTTAACAGGTATTGAAAAAACTGCTTGGAATGATTTCCGTCTGGTGGTCACTAATTTCTTGGGAAATAGAAAAGCTGACACCTATCAAACCCTTGTCAAAAATATGCTGTCATCGTATCAAAAGATGGGCTGTAATATGTCTCTTAAGATACATTTCCTACACTCACACCTGGACTTTTTTCCTGACAATTGCGGAGCCGTAAGTGATGAGCACGGCGAACGTTTTCATCAGGATATTTCAACAATGGAAAAAAGGTACCAGGGAAAGTGGAATCCTTCCATGCTTGCAGACTACCGTTGGACTCTTGGTAGAGATGCTCCAGAAACGATCCATAAAAAAACAGCAAAAAGACAGCGCATATAGTGATTCTTATAAGTATATGAATCTTGTTACTTTTTTTAATATATCCTTAAAAATAAAAAGTTTTTTTTCTAAACCGCAACTAATTTTTTTATTTCATTGTCATTTTTGGATTCAGCGCCCCAAAATTAACAAAGAAGTGCACTTTTCCCACAAGATACAATTAAAAAACTAAAATTTGTTGTCCAGTGATATTTGTGACAAATAGGCAGCAGCGGTGGCCGTAGTAGACTCTTCGGTTTCCTAATCAGTCGCCGTGATGTTGTGATTGTCCGTAGGTGGTAGACGGTCTCTGACTGTCGAACGCGGAGGTACCACCCGGCGGATCTCGTAGGCGGGGCCAGAATGTGTGCGTGCTGCATGTACACGTGATCCCTCGCTAGGGTCCCGTGTGGCGTCTTTCCTTTCCCCTGTATCCCCCTATAGCCCCACGGTACCCCATTGGTGTTTAGGCCTTCGTGGTAGTTGGAGTACATATAAAAAAAATAAATGTACGCCACTGACTTTTGTGCAATTTTAATTATGTTCTTTGGATTAAGCAAATAGAACATACATTATATCTTGAATTTTTTTCGTATTTTGCTTAGTTTTCGAGAATCAATTAATTATCCCTGGACCACGCAAGGAATGTGGGGAAAAGTTTCTGTTCAAAAATTATTTTTTTATAGTTTTTTATTACTAATTTTGTAACAACAACAAATACTAAATAATATTAACATAATTATTAATAACAAATTATAAAAACAAACTAGTAATTTCCAAAAGAAACTGTTCATCATATTCGTTGTATGTTCCAGGGACTTGCAATTAAGTGGAATTTTTTTTCTCGAAAACTAAGATACGGAAAAATTCAAGAGGCAAAAAAGTTGTATTTCTATTTGCTTAATCCAAAGAATGTAATAAAAATGACACAACAGTCAGTGGCATACGTTTTTTGTCACAAATATCCCGCTCAAGACGCCACTGAACCTAATAAATTTAATCAAGTTAGGATTGGATTAGCTTCTTAATGTTTTAAATACTACCGCCAAATTACAACAAAATTAGATGAAGGATATTTAAGATATTTACGAAAAACCATTTTTTTTTTCAAATTTTAACACCCTGTATCTTGAGAACGATCAATTAGCGGACCTATGTTTATATGTACTTTTTGTCTTAAAATTACCCAAAGAATGTTAAATTTATGGTACATACGTAATTAACATCCTATTTTAAGCATTAAAATGACCATTTTTAGGCTTTCACAAGCAGTTAATCGTGTATATCTGGAAAAATGTCAACTATGGAGGTATTTTTTCAAGGTGATCAGAAATACCTGAAAAAAAATTGTTCAGGTCAAAAAATGTTAAAAATAATAATAAATAAATAATTCAAACAATTCCCCGGCAAATAAGAGAGTTTCACCTAGTCTAATACTCGTATTCCAGCACCGGTTCAAAAATGATTATTGGATATCGTTAAGTCATTAATTGGTCATTTTGAAATAAGCAATTGTACCGGACAAATTCCCCACATTTTCCGGTACGCCTGTGTCACCATGTCAGCGATAATTCAAAGTTCGCATTTTGTCAGCCATGAATTTATAATTTCCCCTACCGCAATCTGACAACGTCATACAAATTACAAAAAAATTTAGTCGCTTCGGACAATTTTCTTCGGGCTTTCGTAAAGTCAAGGGTTTTCGCTTGATAAGCGTTTCAGTGCCTGAAAAAGCCTAAAACAGGCATTTTCAATGCCTAAAAACTTGGTTAAGAACTGTTACTTTTGAGGTTGCCTCCCCTATTAAGAGTATTTTAGGCTTAATTTATTTTAAAGCGATTTATGACCTTGTTTCTTAGCCCAGAATTGGCGAACTTTTGATTTTAGTACAAGTCTATTGAGAGGGTTCCTTAACAGATATGCTTGCTTGCGCACTGGAGCGAGATATCACCTTTGTTGGTTAGTTAGTTTTTCTCAGTCGGCGTACAACTTATTTGTACTCTTTTGTAGGCTAGGAGGACCAGATCCATTGGATTACATATCCATGTATGCAAATCCTGGACAACCTTCAGAAAACGTTCCCGCTCATTGGCATTACATCAGGTATGGTAAATTAATGCTTGTTATTTTTATCTGTTAAGTTGAGAGAAAAAGTTAATTTTAAATGAGAATGAGATGTAAACAAGAAAAGCTGGCGACAGGTTACCACTCAAGCAGTGTTGAACTATATATATATATATATATATATATATATATCTTGAGACGTGGTCATTGTCGTCTAGACCAGTTAGGTGAAAAATAAAGATTCCGCCTTTTTTTGGGAACTTCGACAAAATTCAAGAGGACTCTCTATACTTTATTAATCTCTAGCTTTCTAGACTTCAATAGACAATAGTTCCGATTTTTCTCAATGTTATTGCAGCTCCTGATGAAGATGGCAAAGTCCATTGAAAGCTAGAGATTAATAAAGTATAAAGAGTCCTCTTTGCTTGAATTTTGTCGAAGTTCCCAACAAAAGGCGGAAGCTATATATATATGTATATACAGGGTGTCCCAGAAGTCGACGTCAAGCCGAAACCGGGTGATAGGCAAAGTCATAACAGCTATTAGAAAAATATTTAAAAAAATTTTATGTATCTGTTTTGAAAATTATACGTCTTTGAAAAAGATATAGAAATTTCACACCCTACGGCAGTCTGTCAACTCCTGTTACTACAAATATTAACTTTTTTTGGATTTTATTTTTACAATGTAATGATGAATAATGCATCTTCAAACTGGTGTCTCAACCTTACTGCCAACTTTTCTCGCTCAGGAAAAATTGCCACTTATTTCCCAACCAAGTATTCCAAAGTAAAACTTTGCTCAACTTTAACTGGCTGTACTGGAAAAAAATGTACTACGAGAGTTTGGCAAGTAACCTTAAAAGTTGGCGCATTTAATAACGATTCCAAAATGGTATAACACTTAGAAGATTACTCGTTAACTTATGCACAATTTTTATTTGAAAAAAAACTGATGAAAATTTTTCAAAATTTCCTAATTAAACAGCGATTATGAAAGCGCACAAGGACCCTTAAGGATAACTGTTTGCACAACAGTGGGCGTCAAAATGCTGCTGATGATGATTTACCTTTACAGCAAATGCTGAAACAGTTTTCCTTCAGCCGCAATACACGCTCGACATCCTCTTAAAAAAGATCGGGTTATTAAACGAGCGAATCCACGGTTATTAACAAACTCAGCTGCTTCCAATAGTCTTTGCCGTAGCTCAGCTACATTTTGAATCGGCTTGAATTACACTTTTTCTTTTACAGTTCCCCAGTAAAAAAATCTAAAGGATTCAAATCAGGTGATCGGGCTGGCCACGGTATTGTACCAGACCGCCTTATCCATCTGCCTGGAAAGTTTTGATCGAGATACTCTCTCACTGAGAGTGCATAGTGTGCTGGGCAGCCATCATGCTGAAACCACATGTCCCTGTAAATACTCAGTGGCACGTCCACCAATAAATTTTGTACATGATTTTTCAAAAAATCCAAATAAACTTCAGCAGTCAAAGTCTCTGGGAACTCAAACGGACCGATTATTTTACCATTTAAAATTCCTGTCCAATGGTTTATCTTGAAGCGATATGGAGATTTATCGTCTCTCATCAAATGTGGGTTTGCTACGTTCCACTCGTGTAAGTTATGCAGGTTCATGTACCCATCTTTCTTAAATGTGGTCTCATCCGACCATAAAATTTTTTCAAAGAACTGTGGATCTTTCCTGTGTCTTTCTAACATTGTGCGACAAAAAGCAACTCGGGGCTCATAATCCCGGGGCAGGAGAGGTTGAACAAGTTGTATGTGGTATGGATGAAGCACATCACTTACTTGCTATTGCACACTTTGATACCGATCAGTACTCCTTCGTTTACTGCGCATCTTTACATGTTCGTGCTTGTTGATTTCGTACTGTTACTAATTTTGGATTCGTGAACTGGACTGTTGATCGCTTGTGATTTGGATTTGGACTGTTGTCAGATCATCGAGTGTTGACAAATGTGCACCGCTTACTGTTCTCAGAGGGCCAACTACCAAACCAATCACACGGTGAGGGAAGATCTTTCCTTCCTTACGAAGACGTGGTACTAGGAGCTGTCGAAGAAGACCCGAGTACTTCAGTGCGTGCAATAGAACTAAAAACAAGTGTGCCCAAAAGTACAGCCCATAGAATCTTGCAAAAAAACGTGCTCCATCCATACCACGTACAGCGTGTTCAAGCTCTTCTGCCCCGGGATTATGAGCCTCGAGTTGCTTTTTGTCGCACAATGTTAGAAAGACACAGGAAAGATCCACAGTTCTTTGAAAAAATTTTATGGTCGGATGAGACCACATTTAAGAAAGATGGGTACATGAACCTGCATAACTTACACGAGTGGCACGTAGCAAACCCACATTTGATGAGAGAAGATAAATCTCCATATCGCTTCAAGATAAACCATTGGACAGGAATTTTAAATGGTAAAATAATCGGTCCGTTTGAGTTCCCAGAGACTTTGACTGCTGAGGTTTATTTAGGTTTTTTGCAAAATCATTTACAAAATTTATTGGAGGACGTGCCACTGAGTATTTACAGGGACATGTGGTTTCAGCATGATGGCTGCCCAGCGCACTATGCACTCTCAGTGAGAAAGTATCTCGATCAAAACTTTCCAGGCAGATGGATAGGGCGGTCTGGTACAATACCGTGGCCAGCCCGGTCACCAGATTTGAATCCGTTAGATTTTTTTTACTGGGGAACTGTAAAAGAAAAAGTGTATTTCAAGCCGATTCAAAATGTAGCTGAGCTACGGCAAAGACTATTGGAAGCAGCTGAGTTTGTTAATAACCGTGGATTCGCTCGTTTAATAACCCGATCTTTTTTAAGATGTCGAGCGTGTATTGCGGCTGAAGGAAAACAGTTTGAGCATTTGCTGTAAAGGTAAATCATCATCTGCAGCATTTTGACGCCCACTGTTGTGCAAACAGTTATCCTTAAGGGTCCTTGTGCGTTTTCATAATCGCTGTTTAATTAGGAAATTTTGAAAAATTTTCATCAGTTTTTCTTCAAATAAAAATTGTGCATAAGTTAACGAGTAATCTTCTAAGTGTTATACCATTTTGGAATCCTTATTAATTGCGCCAACTTTTAAGGTTACTTGCCAAACTCTCGAAGTACATTTTTTTCCAGTACAGCCAGTTAAAGTTTGTGCAAAGTTTTACTTTGGAATACTTGGTTGGGAAATAAGTGGCAATTTTTCCTGAACGAGAAAAGTTGGCAGTAAAGTTGAGACACCAGTTTGAAGATGCATTATTCATAATTACATTGTAAAAATAAAATCCAAAAAAAGTTAATATTTGTAGTAACAGGAGTTGACAGACTGCCGTAGGGTGTGAAATTTCTATATCTTTTTCAAAGACCTATAATTTTCAAAACACATACATAAAATTTTTTTAAATATTTTTCTGATAGCTGTTATGACTTTGCCTATCACCCGGTTTCAACTTGACGTCGACTCCTGGGACACCCTGTATATATAGAAGCAGTAAAAGAAGACAAAGGAAAAGTTATTCGCCAGACTTACCTAAAGTGTATTCTTTCGTTAGCCTTCATTGCCTTTAAAAAGCATAAATCCTGGTTAGGTGCTTTTACCGCTAAAGTGCATTGCAACCACGGTTTCGTGTATGTTGTCACGATGATCAGGCAGATATCTAACAGATATGCCTTATCTTTATTAGAAAATTTGAGCTGGGAAGTTACTAACGCTATTTTCAATGAATTGCTCTGGTCTTTCGTCGAGCTTGATGCATTATGCCTAGCGGTCAAATCTTAAATTTTTTCTCCGCCAAAGAAATAAATCTGTATTTTCTCGAGATCCATACTTTTCCAACTCTCGCGAAACTTTTTAAACATTGGAATGTTAGGGCTTGTAGTCACTTGGTCGATCTTTGATTCAATCACACCATTTAACAAAAAATTGGATGTGATGGCGGCAAGCAGAAATAAGCATATCTTTGTTAAGTTTCAGGCACTCGTATTTGAAGCACTAGTATCACAACAGAGAATCTGAATTTTATCGATACGGCCCTCAATGACGTTTGTAAATTGTATGTGATATATTAGTGGAGGAATCCTAACTCACTACAGCATTATTTGAATAATATTTTGTTTTGTTCTTGATGAGTCTCAGTTTGTAGAAATTTTTAACTCCCTGTATCGTGGTAATTTTTTATGTACTTTCTGCTACAGAAATATTGTCACGTTCTTTGGATCACCCTGTATTGTAATATTAATACAGTGAATGATTTCAGCTTCGGTTTGTCCGATTTGCACGGAGATGGTCGTGTCCACGATGTTTGTGGGCCTGGCGGTATCTCCGGATTTGGATTTGAACTCAGTTTTCGCCTCAAAAGGGAACCAGAAGAAACGTCACCACCTACATGGCCAGCCACACTGATGCAATCTTTAGCCAAATACGTCTTCCATTCAGGTATTCAATGATCTTTTTCAATGTTGTTATTATTACTTAAAAAATCAGGGAATATTAATATACGAGCCCCTTCCCACTTCAAGATTTGTACCAAAATATGCCTTTATAAACTAAACATGACGAAACTATTTTTGAATTGAAATATTACCATTGGGTGACATCACCTTTATTTTTTATTACGGCTGAAATTCTTAGGGGCATAGTGTTAACCAAGTTTTCGAAAAAAATTGGTGTAAAACAATCCCATATTTCTTGAAGCTTTTGTCTCAGTTCGGTGATTGTACGAGCAGGATGTTGTCGTAGAACGTTTTTCAACTCGTGCCACAAAGTTTCAATAGGTGACAGATCTGGACTGCTAGAAAACCATTTCAAACGTGGTACATTATTTTCTTCCATCCATTTTATAGCTTTTTTTGAGGTATGGCATGCTGCACCATTGCCAAATATTTGTTTGTATCCACATGTCCATCAATAAAATGAAGTTTTCCTACTCCTTTTGATAACATACTGCCCCAGACCATAATGGATGCTGGAAATTTCACTTTTCTCTTCAGACAGTCAACACGGAATGCTTCATTTTTTTTGCGAATCCAACACAAACTTGGAATCGGGCCTCATCACTCCATCGTATTGCACACCATTGTTGAGGTGTCCATTGTCTATGTTCTTTAGCCCATCTAAGCCGATTTTTTTTTGCAGTGGAGTTAATAGTGGCTTTTCTTTGGCCTATAAACAAGTTGTGCAACTTTAGGGTTTTTCCTTCACTTTTTTTTATAAGAAAACTTACCTTGCAAGTTGTGGACCTCGAAATTCTCCTTCCAACAGCGTCACTCCACAGAGCACTCAATTGTAAATAATTGGCACGCCTGTTTTTCACGATTATGCTTCTTAATGCTCTTCAACAATTGTCATGTGTTATTTTTATGCTGCAAATTTGATTAGGGAGTGATAAAGTTGGTGTTTTCTACTATATATTATCAAATATTCATTGTTAATATTTTAAACCTATAACACCCTGCTACATTTTTATTATATGTGTTTGATAAGAAAAAAACTAAGATTTCAATAGTTGGGCCAACTGAAGTGGGAAGGGGCTCGTATTGCTTATAAAATACCTATCGCGACCCATCAATGCAGCATTTTTTTTTTTTATATCGAAACAGCCGCACAGGCAGAAGCCTACATGCCGGAACACCGCGGCTGCTAGGATGATCCTAAAGAAATTTTGTTAATACGATTTTTGAACTGCCTAAGGTTAGTAGAACTGGGAAAAGCTTCCTCCCGTAGATTGTTCCACAATCTAGACACCCTCGGGACAAAGGAGCGGTCGTATCGGCCAGTTCTGGATGTACAAAGTTTGACACGGTTAGGATGGGACGCCGAAGTCAGGCGGGTCTGTCTGGCAGGCACATCGCGCGGCGGCATCATGGAAGAGAGCTCTGAGGAGCAAAGCCCGTTGGCGTAGCGATAGAAAAGAGCTAGATCGCCGACGGCCCGCCGGTGCGAAAGAGTCCCGAGACTGTCTGTTAGGGAAGAGTCATCGATCAGTCGGACCGCCCTCCTCTGGACAGCATCGAGCATGGACAATGTAGTCGGGGCGGCAGCACCCCAAATGTGTGAGCAATACTCGAGGCTAGGCCTTATCTGGGCCTTGTATAGAGTGAGAAGGTCATGCGGAGAAAAGTACTTCTTAGCCCTAAACAAATAGCCTAGCTTTTTCCCAGCAGCTGCAGCTATTGAAGAGATGTGTTCGTGCCAGATCAGGTCCTCGGTGATCTGGACTCCGACCAGCCGAAATGAATGGCTCTTTGGTAGAACTCGACCGTCCATCGAAACTGTATGAGCGCTAGGACGCTTTTTGTTCGTCAAAGTACAGTACTGTGTTTTGGAAGCATTGAACTGTACAAGATTGTTGCGTCCCCAAGCAGTGATAGCCTCCAGGTCTCTTGTCAGAGAAGAAGTCGTCGCTAGTCTTCTTTTTTCCAGCTCAGCGGTAGAGATCGGCTTGTCACTCTGAATCCCTGCATGCAGAGTGCTGTCATCAGCGAAGCTGTGGATTGGGTTGATCGTGCAGGAAAGGAGGTCGTTGATATGTAAGAGAAACAGTGTTGGAGCCAAGACCGACCCCTGGGGAACACCCGCGTTGACGTTGTGGGATGAAGAGGAGAATCCGTCAATTACGACGGATATCTTGCGGCCAGAGAGAAAGTCAGCCACCCATCTGCAAAGCTTTTCTGGGAGGCCGTAGGATGGAAGTTTGCTCAAGAGGGCAGCGTGCCACAGCTGATCGAACGCTTTCGTGATGTCAAGAGCAACGACATGAGCCTCACCATGGGACTGGATGAGTTTACTCCACAGTTGCGTGACGTAAGCTAGGAGGTCCCCTGTGGATCGTTGGTGCCAGAAACCGTACTGCCTGTCGCTAATCAAGCTGTGACGTTCGAGGTAGTCCAGAAGCTCGCGATTTATGCACCTCTCCATCACTTTACTTATAACAGAAAGCAGAGCTATAGCCCTGTGGTTGTAAGGGTCGGTTTTAGATCCTTTTTTTGGGATGGGCTGTACATGAGCAAATTTCCAGTTTTCTGGGAAGGTGCCGGATTCATAAGATATCTGGAAGAGACGCGAAAGAACTGGAGCAAGCTCAGCTGCACATCTCTTCAGTACAATGGCAGGAATCAAGTCCGGACCAGAAGCTTTGTTGGTGTCGAGCGACAAGAGCACTCGTCTTACGGTCTTATGCCTGAATGTTACCTCCCGCATAGTGTGGGGAACCCTTTGAATTGACGGCACTTGGGCGTTGGTGGGGACGACCATGGTGGAGTTGGCAGCAAAGATCTTGGCTAGCACTTCCGCCTTGGCCTTTGAGTCGAATACAATAGTTCCATCCTGACACGTAAGTGGTGGAAGGCTACTGTGTGAGAAGTTCTTTTCAATCTGCTTGGCCAGCGTCCAGAAAGACCGACTGCCATTGCGCTGCGACATTACCCTGTGCCTAACTTTTATATCATGCTGGGTTTTGGCATTGCGAACCGCTTCGTTATATTTGTTCCTGGACTCGACGTCGGCTTGTCTGTTCTCTACAGTGGGGTTTTGTAAGTAGGTTCTGTGGGCCTTGATCTTCTGCTGGCGAGCAGTGTCACACGATTTGTTGAACCAGCCGTTGGACCCTGGTTTAGGAACTTTCGCTGTGTGAGGGATGTATTCCTCCATTCCGACGTGGATAATTTCGGTTATTGAAGAACAGACAGTCGACGCATCCGCGTCAGTGAAACAGACATCTCTCCAAGGAAAGCTAGAGAAGAAGTCTCTGAGCCCCTCCCAGTCGGCATGTCCGTAATGCCAAGTTTTGCGGCCTATGCGAGTTTCTGCTGCCACAGCGGCTTCTGACCGAAACCTAACCTCCACAACACCGTGATCTGAGTTACCCAGGGGGGACAGGACAGCAGTGCTGTAAGGGGCAGGATGCGTGGTCAGAAAGAGATCCAGCAGGCTACTGGAGTGTGACGAGACCCGGGGGAAAAAGTAGGGCTCGTCACCAGCTGGGTCAGCCCTTGAGTAAGAGCGAACGCTTCGACTGCACGACCTGCTGCATCGGTCTTATTTGAGCCCAACCAAAGCTCATTATGGGCATTGAAATCACCGAGAAGAACTACCTCTGAAGCGGGGTGATTGATGTTCAGGAAGTCGATCTGGACGGCGAGGTATTCGAATAGGTCATCCCAGTTATGGTTCGAGGGAGAGCGATAAAGGCAGCAAATAAATTTGGGTGATGTTTTGGAGTTGAGGCGAAGCCACAGAATGTCCTTCCGGTCTGATTCCAAAGAAAGATCCCTGGAGCAGGAAAGACTGCTGCGGACAAAAGCCACAACTCCCCCGTTCTTTCTCAGATTGGAGTGCACCTCGTAGTTTGGGAAGTTGAGATGGTTAATCGGTGCAGTCTCTGAGATTTTTGTCTCCGCCAAGAAAAGCACGGCGGGACGATTGGATTGCAGGTAGTGATGAACAGCATCAATGTTGCTGTTGATCCCGCAGATGTTCGAAAAACAAATTTTATCTTCGATGTTGTTCCCTCGAGCCCACCCTCCACCCGGACATTCCGAGAGTGGAGTGAGTGCTAAACAAAACAATGCCAAAGAAAACGATTAATGGGATATTATTCTTGGTATCTGGGCCACATGTTTAAAATACAATCACTCAGGGTGTGCAAATTTTGACCCTAATGTCAAAGTTGATTTATTTAGTTGAATGCCCTATTTTTTATTACATATTCGGATAGAAAAATATGCTGATTTGTTTTTTTTGCATAGTCTTGCATATTGAAAGGCTCAAAATTGTGTCAAAAATTCTTTAGACAATTTTTTATAATCGTAATCCAAAAAAAATTTGTTCAGGTTTCTTGCTTATTTTGAACACAAAAAGTTGTTATGAACTCTTCTCTAAAATCCATAGTTTTAGAGATATAAGCGATTGGATATTTGAAAATTTGCAAAATATGAGATTTCCCGAAAAACAATCTGAAAAAACAAAGTTACCAAAATTCTTATACAGGGTGGTCCAACGAAAAGGTCGCACCCCCATTTGTGACTCTCCTGGTATATTTTTGGAAAAACGCTCGGAACACGTCAATTTTGATTTCTAGGAGGACGTCTTTTCATCTGTAGCCGTACAGTACAGGGTGATCCAAAAATAAGATATTGCGTTACACTTTAAATTTTTAAATGGAAACCTCCTATTTTAATTTTTAGATTTTCCAGCTTATAGTAACTTTTGTATAATAAAGTTTATACTTAACTTCAATCGTTGTGAAGCTATTTGAGTTTATAGCAAAAATCGAATAATTTAATACTCATAATAATCATGGATACCAGCACGAAGATTTAGCATCAGTGTTATCTTATGTCGTAGAAAAACATTTTCATTTCAAATTGTTAAGTTATCTACCTAGTTGTGATAAATATTAATCAATGACTTATTCAATTCAAGAAAAGGTGGAAATA